CCCCAAAACCCCAAAACCCCAAAACCCCTATTGTTTTAGTCGATATTGAAGTTTAAATGTGAGTAACCTGAACTACCAAATTGTGCCAAAATATTAGCACTAAGTACTGACAGAGTCATAAAGCACCGATCTGAGTTGATTGAGGAGTCGAGCTACACTTCAAATGTAAAGTTATGCAAATCATCAATGTTCTGGGATTAGAAAATGAGATCCAAGCTTTGACTAAGCTGATCAATACTTTACAGAAAGACTTTGATCAGTTCAATCTTGAAGATAATTTCCCTGATTTTCAGCAGACTTTAGATCAATTCAAATATCAATTTGATGAAGTAAATAATGAGGTTACTAAAATCATTGATGATAAAGATTTCTTGAAGTTCAAAGATTGCAAAACAAAACTAGGCGACACAAGAGCTAGCTTCAGTGAAAATCCAGAGATAATGAAGGTGTCTACTCATATATACCATCTTTTCATTCTTTGTGAAAATCAGGTGTGGCCTATGAATGCCCTTAAAGGTGGGAAAGAAAAACAAGAGGAGAATAAGAAGCTTGAAGAAAATGTAAATTCATCAGCAAAGTTAGCAACTAAAGATGAAGAATCTAAAAAAATTATCCCAATTGTTGGTCGTCAATCCATGGCAAGTTTGAAATCCAAATATTTAAAAAGTGCTAAACCTAAAAAATATTCGTCAAAATTATACCTTGATTTATCAAATAAGGATGAAATGAATATTGCAAAAGAATTTATCAAAAGTAAACAAGTTGTTGAGGTTAAAAAGTATACATTGTTTATTCCTGCAGACAGAGATTGCGCATCAATAAGCGAAGATTTCATAAAGATTTGAATAAACTACAAATTATGAAAAGAACTTAAAATTGTATGTCAATCGAGAGTGCAGAGTTTCAGCTTCTCAAACCTTTTATATTTCTTAACAAATCAGAAAGAAATCTTAGGATGTAAAATATATATGGTTGGTATAGCTTTAAGTGAGAGTACTTTGAAAGATATATCCACCTTGATCGAAACAAAAGATGCTACTTTTGATCTTAAAAATTGTTGGATTTATAATCGATCTAATTTCAGGAAGATAAGTTGGCATGAAGAGAAACAGGCAAAAATTAATTCAGTCCTATATACAGACGGCATCACACCTCCATCCAAGTATATTTGATGGTACTAACATAATTTCCCTCTAAAATATTCTTCATCTATAAATTGTTTTTAATCTCACCTGTTTATCATCAATAATTTTTACAAATCCATCTCAAATTTTATCTATTCAGTTCAGCCGCTTAAAATAGGGGTTTTGGGGTTTTGGGGTTTTGGGGTTTTGGGG